TTTAATAATCTCTTCCATTTCTTCCTGGTCATTAAACATGTAAATAGAAAACTAAGCATATTATCATGGAATTATGTGAAATGATACATCTTAAGCCAAATGAGCAGGTCACAAAGTGGAATGCCTAATCTGTTCCCTGCTGTATGAAGGCATGTGGGAGCCTGTGTACATATGGATAAAAAACACAATGCAGAATGGACATCAAAGCATTAACAGGAGAGTCTTCATTGGGTTTTGCTCTCTTTCTAATACCTTTCTATACCGTGAAACCTCTTACTATGAAAATACCACCATGCTAAAACCAAAAACTAGGAAAGACATTTTTTAAAACTGTGTGAAAACCTTCAAATCATCTTCCCTTTTTCTAATTTTTTTATTATAATAAAATACAAATAAATTAAAATTTAATGTCATAACCATTTTTCAGTGTACAGTTCAGTGGTATTAACTACATTCAAATTGTTGTGTAACTACCATCACCATCCATCTCCAGAACTCTTCGTCTTCCCAAACTGAAATGCTATGCTTATTAAACAGAAACTCTCATTTCTCCCTCTCCCTAATCCCTAATATCACCATTCTGCTTTCTGTCTTTAGGGTTTTGACCACTATAAGAACTTCATAAAAGTGTACTCAAACAGTATTTGTTCTTTTGTGAGCGTCTTATTTATTCCCCTTAGCATAATGCTCTCAAGGCTCACCCATGTTGTAGTATGTGTCCAAATTCTCCTCCTGTTTAAGGCTGAAGAGTATTCCACTGAATGGATTTACCACATTTTGCTTAGCCTTTCACCTGTCAATGGACACCTGGGTTGCTTCCACGTTTTGGCTGTTGTAAATAATACTGCTATGAATATGGGTGTACAAATAATTTCTTTGAGACTCTGCTTTCGATTCTTTTGTGTACATACCCAGAAGTGAAATTGCCAGAACACATGGTAATTCTATTTTTAGTTTTTTGAGGAACTGTCATACTGCTTCTGCAGCAGGTACATTATTTCACATTCCTACCAACAGCACATAAGATTTCCAATTTCTCTTCATTCTCACCACCACTACTTATTTCTTTTTTATTAGTAGCCTTCCCAATAGGTGTGGGGTGGTATCTCACTGAGGTTTTTATTTCCATTGCCCTTATGATAAACCATATTCACTTTGGTTTCCATGGCATTTTTTATTTCTGGCTGTGAAGATAAAAATTCTTCATGTCTCAACCAGCCAAAGCCATATTCCTATGGCTCCCACAATATGTTTTAGGCCTGGGCTTTCTTCCTGCCACCTATTATGTGAAAAGAAATAGAAGTGGAGCTAGTATTTAAATCATTTTTTTAAAGTATTTCTTCCCTCACAGAGAAAACTCTGGCAATTCTGGGAAACAACTGTCAAACATTTCTTAAAGAGAAAAGCACACCTAATCCCTAAAGAAAAACCACCCACTAATTTGACTGTCTGGAAGTATAACAAAACATGTCTGAAGAATATGAGGTTCTTATCGCTACTCTGCAAAAAGTCCTCATTATCAAGAAGTTTTAGAGAACTGAAGAAGCTATGAATCCAGGGCAGGCATCAATGTGCCTTTTATTCACTTCTCTCACTGAATGTTGAAGAATTTTTCCTGGAATTCCAGTCAATTGCTTTGATAACATCATTATTTTATTTATACTTGCACCATGTCTGACCTGAGTTATCAATGCCTTCTTACCATTCCATTCCTATAAAATGAATGGCAGGTACAGGGTTTGGCATGAGCTCAAAACTTCCAGGAGCGTGGTACTGGGATGGCTAATTGAAAGAGCATTCCAGGTGCCTGATCCACTATTCATAACGTACATTCATATTCCACCACACCAGCCTCAGATAAGGAATAAGTAATGTACTTCTGCATATATAATATAAACTAAAACTTCCTGTCACCTGGCCATCAACTGTTATAATCACTTTTACGTAATATTGACAAAGTACACAAAGTGGCATTTCAAACCCAGTACTTTTTATAAGCTTGTTAAGTGGAAATGGTTTATTTCAACAGTGTTCCAGTTACAATAGGATTTCATCACAGTGTCTGTGAATGTAATCCATTTGTCTCCAGAGCTCAGAGAAACAGATATATGGTTACCATTAATGTCCTTCATTCCATCCTAAGAACAGTGGTTCATAAACTCTTTTTGGATTTCATGCCTCTTTAGAAACCTAAACAAAACCATGGATCCTCTCCACAGAAAATGAGCGCAATTCAAATTTAGAAAACAGTTTCAGGGGTTTCTGCTCATCCCTCTATAAAGTCCAAATACATGGCAGCCAATTCAGTATCAGAGTCCTTTTGGGTACCGGTTACAAAAGAAGCTCATTCAGTAGGAGAAAGGTATCTCCATTTTTAGCGAAACCCCTGGTGATTCTAATGAACGTCAGTACTCGAGAGCCAGTGTCCTTGAAGTTGATAGACTCCAAGTAAAAAATTCCTGATATAGAAGGTAGGACTACAAAGTAATAGGATCAGTGTTCAGCTTTCATTGGCAGCCAGTATTGTCAGAATCACATCTACAGAGGGGATGGGGGAAGGAAATCCTTAAGACAAAATATATTAATAAAGAATAGTAAGTCTTCAATTAATGTCATCAATAGGTTCTTGGAAACTGGAACTTTAAGCAACACGGCATACAGCAGATTCTCAAACAGCTTTGTTTTCTTTAATATCTTTTCATCATAACAAAGATGAGGGGAAAATGGTTTTGCTATACAACGTTTATTAAAGTCACAGTTTCCAAGAACCCATTGATGTTAAGTGAAGACTTACCGTGTATAAGGGAAATAAATGATACAATTTCATACACTTTCTATACCACAGGCAATATGCTATGCTACTGTGATCTACATTTAGAGTCAACTGTTCTTACCTTGAAATGTTTATTGTATCAAAATTAGAGGCATGGAAATGTGAGCAGCAGAATCCAAAGGAGTCTGTACACAGGTGAGCCATGATCACCCTCTACGCACGGTTGAACATACCCAGCTCCTTACGCATTCGGCACAAGCTTTGCACATCTTCCCTTCTCCAAGTATGGAGACTAATGCCTTGTGCATGGTAGATGCTTAACACACTACCTTCAGAGTTCACCTTAATCTGTCTCCGCTGACAACTCTATGCCAAATCCAACTGTTTGCTTACTGATAACTAGACCTTATCGATGGTCTAATGTTAAGACCTTTGGACCTATTCGGACTTACTAGACCCATAGGTCTAATGTAATAAACCTTACTGAGGTCCATTACAGTATTAAAATGAAATTTAATACAGCTGAAAATTTGGCAAACTATACTTGTTCATCTCTTAATTCTGGAAGAGCCCTGATCAATACGTACCAGGCCTGAACTCAGTCCCTTCTAAAGCTAATGAACTTTAAAATGGCAAGAAGAGGTCAAGTCTGAGTATCTGTCATTTATTGCTACAGCTACTGATTAGGGGAGGGAAACATAGTTTCTATTAGGGCGTGACCAGCGAGAAATGAGAATGATTTTTAAATGAATGCTTAGGAACATCAGTTTCTTAACTTCAGAATTATGTGCACTACACACACAAAAAAATGATCATGATAATGCTGAAAAACATGTTAATCCACTTTCATAAGATTAGACACACACTAAGTTAATACTTTAAAATACGATAAAATGATCTTTGCAGGGATCACTGACCTCTTGAAGAATCAGATAAAACCCAAAAAGCACAAAATTCATGCAAGATTTTCACATCTTGTCAAGAAGTTCTCTGATCCCTGTAAGGCCATCTGTGCTCGCCATTTTGTTTCAACAGCATTTGATTAGTTTGTCCATCTACCTAGACAATCATGAGGGCAATTCAGACAAGAGGAGAGAAATACAAGGGATGAGGTCACACAGGCTTTGATCCTGCTGTATACTGTACAATGGAATGATCATGGGATATAGACAGAAATAGTCCTGATACAGGGATCAACCTGTGGCTTTGTAACCTCAGAACAGCCAGGACTGCTTTAAGGACCAAGTGAATGAATCATTATGGGTGGTCTTCAGGGAATAAAAGCAGAGGTCATTGTTATTAAACAAATATACATTTTTTTCCTGATTATGCAGAAGCCTAATGCCGCTATTGTGTAGGTCAGATTTATGATGTGAAACTTCTCAGATTACAATGAAAACTAGAACTTTTACAAAAAGTGACTTTGATATTTATGTTATTAAGCCTTTTGGATGAAATTCAAGAAAAGCTTGACTTACACTAATTCTATCCCAAAGTGAAAAGAAGAAAGTAATGTTTTTTACATAAATAGAATAACATTTAACTTTAAATTTCCTCTCAAGAGAAAGCCAATATCATCCTTCCTAAAAAGGTAAATGTTTAAAAAGTAGCTAGAATACACATCATTAAATTGCATCCTAAACATTTATACAGCCAAGCTACACAGACACACACACACATACAATCACACATATATACTACACACACACATACTATATATTTTTATATCTGTCTGTGTATTTTTCTATCTGTATGTGTATATATATGAACCATTACATAATCTTGATACATTTTTTTCATTTCCTAGACTATATTTGGCAATAATTAACGTTTTTATCTAGCAATTAAAACCTGCTGCACACTCACAACTACCACAAATTAAAATGCACTTCAAAAAGAACACACAATCTGGTGGGTGGAGGTCGCAGGGACTTTACTCAGTGGGAGATTTAATTAAATTATTGTTTCCTCACCACCTTTCACATGCACACTAAAACCCAAATTATATTCAACCCTAAAAAATATTTTTTCTCCAAATTATATCAGCAAAATGTAGAGCTATAAGATCAGCAGCAGCAATCACAGGATTCTCGGAGGTCAATGCCACCATTTCAAATCTCAGAGTCCATTCACAGTGGCTACTTAAGAGATGCAAAAGGCCTGGCCGGAGTATTTATTTCCTGCAAGAATCCTCTGCAAGCAAACTGTCCATTCAGCAGTTCTGCAGGCTACTGTTTCACCATGCGACAGGCCCACTTATTCATAAACAAATCATTAACATTCTTGACATAAATCCATAGTGGACCATTTAATCCCAGCTATGATAATGTTTTCGTACATTTGCTCTGCCCATCGTGAATGGGAGTGTTGTTTCGCAGAACCCATCCCTGACAAATAAGAGACAAATTATGCCCCGTGAGAAAACTTGGAGAATGAACGGCTTACACACCAATTACTGTCTCATTATCTGGCTGATGCAGAAATAGATCCTGTGTGCTTTGGGTGAAATGTAGATTTTTCTTACTAGAACCAAAAAGTGTAAGTATACACAAAATCACTTGCCAAGGTGTTTTTTGTTGCTCAGATTCATCTGAAGCCACACTCTGGGAACATTCCTCATAAAAGCAAATCAATAATTATTGCTTAAGAAAAAACAAACAAAACCCTTGTGTAAGTACCAAAAAAAAAGAAAAAATCCTAGCAACTATCAAGACCAATGGTTAATACAGATTTTTTAGCATTTTAGTGTTCATTGATATTAAATATTCTGCCCCAGAGTTATTAGGAAAGGAATATGAATGACAGAGAAACAATAAACAAGGTATAAGAAATTCATGTAAGTGAAATAGACTCTATGGCCTGACAAGACCCTTAAATTCAATTTATAAATTTTCCCCACCGAACTTCAAGAAACCTCTTCATGATCAAAAAGCACTGGGTAAGCACCTATACATAAGAAGGATTTGCTGTATATTTTTATATTCTAAGCTAAACAGACCCAATTCTAGCTCTGTAACTGAGATATCCTAAGTTAAATAAGTATACTAACGACACTACAAAAGCGACCAACTCAAACATTTTATTTTATATATTGGTTCCCATAGTTCTATCTACAAACCATCTGCTGGGCTCAAGCCCAGACTCACGATTTGTCAATCAGCAATTCACATACCTGCATTGGCAGGGACAGCACCAGGAGCCTATTTACTTCTCCATAAAATAGCTGGTTTCCAACAGTTGTTGGATAGAACAGTGCTTCTCAAACTTTATGTATATAGGAATCACCAGGGCATTTTGTTAGAATGCAGATTCTGGCTCAGTAGGTCTGCAGTGGTACTTAATAACTTACATTTTTATCAGGCTCCCAGGCGATGCAAGTTCTGCTCTCCTGGGACCACACTTTGACAAGCAGCGTGGGAGATGACTACGTTTTGATTATGGTTTAGCAGACCGATACCTTGGTTCTCTTTAAGCAAAAAATGGAAGCCTCCTCTTCTGTTCAATCTTGCTTTCCCTACTACAATATCACTATTAATTTGATCAAAAAACATAAAGTTTAAAGTCAAGCTTTACGCAAGTCTTCATTTAGAGTAAGAATGAGAATGCAAAAAGCTAGAGGGATACTTGCATAACATTAGTGTCGGGGAAACGCACCCGAGGACCTGGATTTCAATCTTATTCTGCCCTTCCATGAACTAAAACCGTGAGGCCATAAGTATGGGACTGAGCTTCTCTCAGCCTCAGTATCTTGAGCTGTAATGTGGGAATTGAAAAAAAACTCATCACACAGTATTAGCACAGGATGAAATAAAACATACAAAAAATGCCTTTGCATACAGGCCCTCAGCAAATGTGAGTTTCTTCTCTTGCTTTCTTTGTTATCCAACATTGGTAGCGTAGCTTGGATCCAGTAGGATAACCTCAGTCTGAGGTAAAAGACCAAGCTGCGTTTGAATCATTGCTCTGCTCCTTCTTACCTATTTATCTGTAGGCAGCCGCTTAGCTGGCGGTTCTCAGATTCAGACGGTCAGACCCGTACTAAGTTGCCTGTGTAATAATCACTTGACAAGAATTCAGATTCTTCTGCCTGCCACCCTGTAATTCGCACACAACTGTCTTGAGATTTCAGTTTAGAATCTGTGTTTTTAAATATTTCCCTAGTGAGAATTAAAACAATTGCCTTCACCTGTAGCACCCCAGATGCCTTGAGCACAGTGATGTCCGTGACAACAGTGACGTCCAACCACCTAGTGCAATGGGGCTCTCACAACAGGACTTTGTAAATGGCAGAAGGCTAACACTGTGTTGCCACTGAGACCCCCATACACAGGCTGAGAGGATTAACTCAGTGACTCCCCTTAGCTGGAGATACTGCTTTCCCTTAATTTATCCTCCATTTTACAACACAACCATAAGTGGATCCAAAGCAATTGTAAGCTCTAGCTTCTGATTTGTTTTTCTTGTTTAATCACCACAGATAATCCATTTGCTTTTCCCAGGCCTCTGTCTGGATAGCAAAGGAGATGGCTTCATTGATTCTCCCTACCAGGTCAGTGAATGAGTGTGTTTCTGGTTGCCTCCAGACCGTGGCTTTCTCTGACACTTTCTTGCAAAGTAGAAGAGCAAGTGCCCAGTCACTACCTGAAAACTCAGTGCAGTGCAGTGACTTCATCAGTCATGATGAACAGTCTTCTCCATCAGAAGGGAAACATTTTTTTTTCTTAGATCACCACTTTATCTTGCATTTTTTACCACCTCCCATCTAGTTTACCTTGGATATGCATAGAATCCAAGAATCCAACAATCGTCACGAAAAGAAATGTATATCCCTGCCCTTTGGTTTTACAAGATAAAGATCCCACTTGCAATTATAAATTTTAGATCAAATAGAATAGGGATTATGAAACATTTAGGCAAAAGGTAGTTACATGTTTATGCAGAGATCTAGGGGCTTTTCTCAAAAGCACAGAATGCATTCCCTTCACTGTTTCCTTCATTCTCCTCTTTCCCTTCTGCCCTCCCTCCCTGCCTTCCTCTGTCTTCTTTCCTTCCAGTAGCATTTGTAATTCTATAAACTCACTGAAATATTTCTTAACTAACCAAAATGTTATTTATTCGTCCTCACTTTCAGAGCAAAATGTGTCCCTTAACTCCTACAGTACAATGAGAGAGGGAGGGAGGACGCAGGAGGAGAAAGAGGAAGAGGGAAATGGCCAGGGAAAGGGAGAGAAAGGGTATTAATCAGTGCTGTGGTTTCCAATCCTGGAGTCATAGAGCTAATGAAAATTAGAGAAGAGCCTTGGTGTAAGATGATAAAGAGCAAATGACACTTGGCTTTCATGGCTAGAGAATAAGAGTAGAGGGTGATAGGAAGTGGCCAGAACTGTAGCAAACAATTACATGCTCCCTTTAAAGGTAGAGTTGCTGTTCAATTCTAGGCCAGAGTGGCAAACAGAAATATAGGATGAACACTGTCAGACTGTCAAATATCTCAAAAAAGACCACGCTTGAGAGGGCCACATTTTATGCAAAAAATCCTGATCTCTTGGTGCTTGCTACAATTTTAAAATTCTATAGCACTGTGCTGGCCAAAGGAAATAACCAGCAAGCCAAATGTGGATTGTGGGTCAACCACCTGCAAACCCTCACCTAGATAGTTTCTGTGGCTGGGATGCTGGCTGGTCACCAGAGTCTGTTTCTGTTCTTCCTGCACACTCATCTGGGACACATTCCTCTGCCTACTTTGTCATTGGGTATGAACTGATGACAAGTTCTAGCCAATGGATTGTGAGCAGAAAGAACATCTGCCTCTTATGAGCAGAAGCTTTAAGAAAGCAGCCGTGCCTCCTCATGCTGGCTTTCTACTTGTGCCAACTAGGTGCAAACAATGAGGCCGCAGGGTCAGTGGAACCACAATGGAGAAGAGGCCTGGTCCCTGAATCACCACATGGAAGAGAGCCACCAACTGTCCAGGAACACAACTTTGAATTAGGACTTGGAAATTAAACACTGATCACGTTTTATCCATTTCATACATCAGGTCCTATCAATTACTGCAACCTAGCTTGGAATCCTTTGGCTTTGAAGAATAGCGATCTTTTATCATCCTTGAGATGTCCTTACTTCAAATATGCATGGAATGCTATTCATTTTTCTCTCCTAGATAAGTTTACTTTTAATTCTTAGTATAATAGGTCCTTCATGCCTATTAAGATTCATATTTGTTTGTCTATTGCTTAAGGGCAGAAATTCTGATCTTCCAAAGCATTCAAAATTCAAGCACTTAGGTTCAGATTGATAGCAGCTACCATGACAGCTCTATCAAGGAAAGGTTGTCACCGAGGAAAATGAACATATCTTTTGAAAATCCTCACCATAATCACCTTTTTTCAAACAACAAAATATTTCCCAAGTACAAGGTAATTACTTTTTATAAAGCCTGCTTCCCTAAATTTTTGTTTATTAACTTTTCTTTCTCTTGATATGACCTCTGAGATAGTTTCATATCGGATAGTGACTATTTGAACTTAAAATAAAAGGGTAAAATATGTAAAGGGGAAGGGGAAGATGCACTTCAAGCAGGAAGGAAGGAGGTGACATAAAAACCTAGAATGGAAAAGTCAGATTTCAAATCACTTTTCTCAGCATCTTTTGCTACATTAGGTAAAGATAAAAATTCAAAGAACGTAGTTTTTTGTCTTAAAACTTCTTTATGTGCAGATATTTTTTGAGAACGTAGGAAAATGTTTGAATGCAATGTGTCAATATGGTGCTATAAGCCAGCAGTGAACTTTGGCAGCTCAGGTAAAAAGCTCCATCCTTCCAGGCAAGCTCTGGTATCTGCCAGCAGCAGGGGTCCGCTCCAGGAGAAACACCTAAAAGCTTAGGGAAAGCCTGCTGGAAAGCTTGACAAAAACAGTGAAGGTTAATCACCTTTTCCATTTCTTTTAAGCCAATCGGATTTAATTAAGTATACTTTAATTAAAATGTAATCAAGCTTTCTGTGGCTGCAGACAGTCAGTGCTAAAAACTGCATCAACTAGTATTTTCTAAAGCCCTTTTCCAAATAAAGCTACCATACAATGAAGAAATATTTATTGTGGCAGTGTTGTATCCTGTCCCCAAAAGTGAGAAAAGGAGAGCAACTTGGGGACAGGGAAATGATGATATAAAAGAGATTATACAAAGAAATGTGTAAATGAGTAGGAGAGGCTTGTTTAGGGGAAAAAGGTTGAGCACAAATCAGAGTTGAGCAAAGGAGCATTTACTTGATTCAAAATTACAGGAACATCTATTTTGTGCCAGTTGCAAGAAATGGGGTATCCCACGTAATCTAATGCCTATGTTCCTTCTGTCTTTCACTTACTTGGTCATTCAACACTTTATGGACAGTAACAGTTCTGGAGACCGTAGTCTAAATGCAAAGCTCATCTCTCCCAGTGCCAAGTCTTAAATTGACAGCGATGAATGAAAAATCTTTATTTGCATGCTTGCGGTTTTTTAAAACAGACTACATGGGTACAACTTAGCTGTTTATTGGTCATATTTCTTACCCATTTGAACATAAATTTGTTACTGAGCTAAAATGGAGAAATGCACTCCAGGATACTGAGAAATGTATATGCTCTGCCTTTAGCCAAAAAGCACCACATTCTCTTTTTAATGTCCACATGTGAGCTCTCTATCTCTTCCACAGAATGTGATGCATGGGCTTTGTGGTAGCTCTCTGAGTTCCAGAGGACTTTCCTTCTCACTATTGCTAGACTCTGGCTGTGTTCTGGATAAATGAGGTTGTCAGAAAAGAAAGTTTCTGTGAAAGAAAGCATCACAATGCAGCTATACGCATCCCTTCCAACAGCAGCATGCAGTGGGATGTTTGGCATCACATATTTGCAAATTTTGACTAATCAGAATTTTAAGAAAATTACATGTTACAGACAGAAAAAAGCTGGACACAAGTCTGAAAATAACTGCAGCTTTCTCCAGTAAATCAGAATCTTAGCTGATCTCAAAGTCATTCTTCTAAAATCAGTTTTAACATTACAGTTGCACAAACATAGACGGTATCAGACTGGTTTAATGTATAACAATTCCAGACCTATACTCAGTGTGTTTGTAAAGTTAGGTCCCTATTATGGTCTCTTTTTCTTTGAATTTGCATTTTTGGAGGGAAGGAGGAGGACAAAGAAGAAACACCTGCTTGAGGGTTCCGTCTGTTTTTTCCTAAGTCATTTTTAAAATAGAATTTTCCTCAATGCCCTTGAATCAGGTTTCTAAAAGTTTCTTCTGGACAAATTTGTAATTCCTTTTCAAAGGACAATTCTTTGAAGTTCACCTAGAGAGTAACTAGTAATTCATCACAGAGAGATGTTATAGCTGTTACATGCTGCACAATGTGATTATTTTTATTTTATTTTTCCCTCTTCTGTCAAAAGAAACACAGCCCAGGTTCCCTTACAGCAGAAACAGGAAACTCCCATGAGAATGTCATAAGAAATAAAGGCAAGTGTGAAGTCGGACTCTGTGTTCTATCTAGATCTGGAAGAGGAGCCGGATTTGAGAAGAGTCCTCTCTGATGTCCTGTTTTAGATTGTTATTTCCATGTTAAGGTATCCCTCTAAAAATGCTCATAGGAGTAGAGTGCAAAAGGTTTCTTGAAAAAGACTGGGCCCGGTGCTCATCCCTGCTATCTGAAGGTTTAGAGTGCAGTTGGGAGGTACACAGGCACCCCCATTAGGTAATAATAGGTAGGTAATAATTAGGTAATACTGTCCCCATTTCACATATGAGAAAATTGAGGATTCGTCACTGAACTCAAAGCACAGCAAGGCAGGTGGAAGAGACAAATTTAGAAGGCAGGAGCTCCCACCCCCCAGATTCCAGCCATTCTCCTCTCCCACACATCCTGGCTGACCCACCTGAAGTACATCCTGTCACCCACCCCATCCCATGACCCCCAGCTAGTTCCTCAAACTTACTCTCAAATCTAATCCCCTTTGTAACCAACACAAATCAATGATGCCAGATGAAGGGGTTAAAAATACACGCTGTGATTTGTGAAAGAAAACGAAATTAACCAAGGAAACCAGAGGTAGAGAGAAAAACGTAGGAGTGAAGGAGCAGATCAGGCCTGGTCTCCAATCCAGGATCTGTGACTTACTGCCTTATAGCTTCAGGCAAGGTAATTAGCCCCTCTGAGCCTCCATTCTTCATGGGTAAAATGCCCAACTTCCAGGATAATTCGTGAGAATTAAGCTAGATAAACAGGCAGAGCACAGGGCCCAGCACACAGTGGGCAGCCCACCCCCTTGCCCTCCACATCCAATGCACCATTCAACCATAACCCTTGTTCAACCACATCAGGCTCTCTGGCCATTTTGAGAGCCAATTCTTTCAAAGATGCGTCTGTCTACGCCACTCATCTGCATCCAAGGTTGGCTTTTTCTAAGTAGGAAAATTAAATTCAGAAGATCTCAGCTAAATACAAAGGCAAGGCTTATAATCCAGAAAGCTAGAACAAGCATTGATTCAGAGAAGGGTAGTTTCCACATTCTAAACTCTAGGTTCCTTGCAAAAATAGCAAATTGTCATAATTCTTCCAATCAGTTTCTCTGTCAATAACATGTTGACCAAAACAGTCCATTTCATGGTCAGTTTCTTTCCCAAAATTCTTTGTCATATACCCCTGTGCCTCTCAAAGGTAAACATTTTATCTTCCCTCTATTCTCAGTCTTCAGCACTTATATATCCTAAGGATATATAAGGTTACATATCCTTATATATAAAGAAGCCTTTGTCAATTAAAAACAAATCTACAAGTATTTGAATTTGAAAAAACAGAATTCTAGAATCAGATATGAGGGAAGATTAGAGCATTCTTAGAGAATGACTGAGAAAGAATTGAGCACTTTTTTATTAATCCATTTTCTTATCACTAAAGACCTACCGATTCATTGTAAAAAAATAAAATTAAAGTGATATAAAAGAACATACAATGAAATATAAAACATTGATCCTTATGCCCTAAATATCAGTGTAAAACCCTAGAGTAAACCACCATCAGCAGGGTTTTCTGCTGTTGATTTATTTTTGCTTTTGTTTTTGTTTTACATGTCATTCCAGAAATTTCAGTGCATTTGTAAGCACAGGAAGACTCTTCTTTCATTTTTCATATAGATACACACACACACACACACACACACACATAAATGTGATCATACCATATGCACTATTTTACAGCTTACTTTTTATTTTAACTACATATCCAACATTTTTCCTAACAGCATATCCCCTCTTTCTCTCTTTTCCTTAACCTCTGTAGTATTGTAATAAATCATGATATGATTTTACTAATCATATATGGATATTTAGAAAAATTCACACTCCCACAAATAACAACAATGTAGGAAAGCACCTGTTATCCTTCATCCAACAGCATGGGCTTTATCCTCCTTTTTAACTGCACTTGCCTCATTGTTGGGTATGCAGCAGAGGGGAGTGGTGGGCAGGGGAACTCTAACTATTGTTATGTTTTACAGTTTATTAACTGAACGAGGCTGAACACTTGTTTGCGTGTTTACTGAAAATCAGTACTTTCTGTGACTTCTGCCCATTTTTCTACTGGATTGCTTATCTTTTTCATATTGATTGTGAAAGCACTTTGCATATTAAGAGAATAGAACCTATGTTAGTCAAATGTCTTGCAATACATTTCTTCAATGTATCATGTATTGATTTATCTTTCGGTGCTGCTTAGTTTTGCCTTAAAGTTTTAAATGCTTACTTAAATACACTAGGTTGCAGCATGTTTCTTTATTCTCACAAATCCACTTGACTATGAGCAGAGCAGGGACCATGCACGTGCACCTGGGCCTTCCTACATCAACTGAGCACTCAAACGGACCGCAATGGAAAGTTCTCATGAAAAGGGTATGTATAGACAGGTGTAGGCTTGAATTCCAAAATGAACTGTGTTAGCTTCTAATTGGGAACACATTTTATCATAAGTTCAAATATGTGCACAGATACAACAGAGAAATTTTATAATAAAATCAGAATAAAGTAAATAAAAGTTAATATTTTCTGTTAGTGATTTTAAAAAGCTTTAAATTTAAACAAAAGAGTTAAATTCATACCCATGATCTCCAGTTAACTTGCTGGTGATTTACCAATCTGTTAAAATGTAATGCATAACGCAGTCAACCATGTGTACTGCCTTGTATTATGCTTTCTAACTAATGAAAAGATACTTTAAAAATATAATCAAAGTCAAAATCCTTTGTGAGACAGCAGAATCACGTCAACACAATGTGGTCTAGAAATTACCATCAGGAGGAGTACGGAAAAACCTCATTTTTCCTGTGGAAGAGGATGTCCCCCCTCAGTGACCCATCTCCTTTCTGGCTTGATAGACAGACACTCAGCTTTAAGAAGAAAGGCTCTCGGAAGGTGAAGCCTTCAATACTTGGCCTTGTGACCCCACTGGCAGACTCCTAGGCAGCAGAAGAATGAACTACAAAGACGGCTTTTTAAAATAGCTAACAGCAAATATGATGCTTGCCACGTGGTCCCCCTCAACATGCCCAGGGGCCACATGCATCGGCAGCCGTGGAGGAGAATTGGATGCTCAGATTCATTGGAAGGCTTCTCCTCCCATTTCAGAGCTTGATACTGCCTGTCTGCTTCTCAACGCCAACATCCAGCATCATTGTCTCAGGTGTTCTGTTGGTTTTCCTTTCCAAAACAGTGGGATGAGAAAGCTGCATAGATAAGGACTCACAGGAAGAAGAATATACCACCACCAAGATGACCGCAACTAAATGACCATGTTTCAGAGAAAAGGGCAGAAAAATGATGGAGATTCTATGAATTAGAGTTGGTAGATTAGAGCCTTCGGTTTTCACATTTTAAAAAATGTGTGAGTAATCTTCGAGTTATCAAGCTCTTACAAAGTAAAAAATAAAACAAAATAAAATAAATACAAGTTTTTACAAAGTATTTCTTAAATATGCTTCTCCTATGAGGAGGAAATAAACCAGAAACAAGGCACATAAGCAAAATCAAGAAACTGGCATGTCATTTTTCAAACGAGAAAACTAATACAAAAAAGTGACTGTCCCAATGGGAACAGGGCCCATTTTTGTCCAGGATCTACAGGGAGCCCTGTGTCAGCTCTGCATGACTTCAGAAGATTCTATCCAGAGGGTGGAACACTCCATCAAAATGAAAGTGTGTACTTGATAAGCTCCAAATTTAATTTATTTTATGCTGATAAGGTTTATGGGTCTTTTAAAATATGAAGCTCAGCTGCTTAGGATTTGCTTTGTTTACTTTGCTTTAATTAATGATAGTGCCTTTCTGGAAAGAAAACAGCATCATGAAGAAATACAGTCAGAAATGATTCACTCAAAGCCTCTCCTTGGCCCTGGCTGTAAAGTAAACAAGATTCATTAATCTCACTTGGGATCAGAGAATAGGGAGAGACGGGAGGTAGGAGAGGAGCAGTTAGCTCCACCTGCAGACAGGGAGGATGCCAGAGAAAATATGAGACCCAGCTCAAACACGGGGCTGGTTGGAAAAGGTCAATATATAATTGGTAATTTACAAAGAGGAGTCAGAATTACTAGTCCTACCGAAGATCTCCAAAAGCTTCAAATAATACATCAATATACTCAATGTGAAATGAACAATCATTATTTCCCAAGTTCCTCATGGTAAAAACTCACTAACTTAGAGTCAGTTCATCCTGATTTTGTAAGAATTCCCATCACCACCAGACAATCTGCTTCTCACAGGATTCCAAGGTAGGTCTAAACATGGTCCTAATTCTACCTTTCTTCCTTAATCTTCTCATGCATCCTCCAAATTCCCCAAACCTGTCCATTTCTAACATGTATTTCATTCTTCTGAGCCTTCCACTATACCTTTTTCTCCATCTGTAATGACCTTTAAGATTCAACCTAATAGTCACTTCTGCTGGGAATACTCCCCAAGTCTAACTCCAGACAACTGAGTGTCTCCTTGGCTGTGCAGTCCAAAATCTTTGTACATATCTATCTCTGTAATAGTCTTTTACTTTCATTAACGGTTATTATTTTTATCCTCCACTAAAGTACTAAGTCCTTTTCAATGGACCAAAGGGGGCCTGCGAGAGTGCCTGGAGTCTAGCAGCTGATTAAATTGATTCAACGTGAACTAAAAGAAAAGTTCACGACATAGGCTTGTATAGATTCATGAATGTTTTATCACTTGAAATAACTTCTCTACAATTTTGTTTCCAGAGCAAAAAAAAAAAAAAAAAAAAGCATGACAATAAAAGAAATATAGAAAGAAAAATAACTAACAATCTTCACTTGTTTTATTTCGTTTTGTGCCCATTCAACCTCTGTCTATAGACTGTCAAGTTGCCCAAGTCATAATCACAGGGTAACTCTTCCAGCACAAGCTGTAGAAATCAATAATGAAGCCAAGCTGAAGCTTTGCCAGCAACAGCACAGGTCAGAATAGAGGCCAAAACCAGGATCAGCAATTACCTGGAGGATAGAAATGTCACCCAAAGGCAGGATTGTGCAGACAGGTCTCAGAGGACAGGTAAGCAAATAGGCAGGATGCCCAGCATTGGAGAGGAAGTGCATGAGCTCAGTCTGAAAGCAGATTTCATATACAGAGACCAGGTTAGGAGCGGAGTGGAGTGATGGTCCAAGTCCAAAGGTGTAGGCCAGATTGAAGAGTGGGGAAGAAGGAACTATGGTAACAAAGAGAACATAAGTAGCAGAGATGCAGGCAAACAAGCCCACACTCTGCCCAATCTATTGATTAACACAACCAAAACCCTCTGCATCAATCTGCATAATGACAGACTAATCTTGAACCACACTTCCTTCTTTCTAGACCCTCTTAAAGTCTTTCATCCTCAACTAAATTCTCACTTTCAAAGATCAGGATATGTTAAATTGAAATCTTCTGAAGCCAGTTTCTCAAGCCACCACAGTAATACACATTTATTAAACCTCAGTCCAAGCTTCAATTGATGGTACAGAAAACACAATGTTCAAAAACTGGGCAAGACTCTACAAATTACCTAGTTCAGGCCCTTTCAATTAATTTATTTATTTACTTATTTATTTTTTAGAGAAAGCATCTCTGTATTAGTTGGTTCTCACACTGCTAATAAAGATATACGCAAGACTGAGTATTTTATGAAGGAAAGAGGTTTACTTGATTCACAGTTCCACGAGGCTTGGATGCCTCAGGAAACTTACGATCATGGCAGAAAAGGCAGGAAGCATGTCCTTCACATGGCAACAGCAAGAGGTGCATAGAGAAGTCAGGGGAAGTCCCTAATAAAATCATCAGATGTCGTGAGAACTATCAGAAGAACAGCAGCATGGGGGAAACTGCACCCATGATTCAATCATCCCCCACTGGGTCCCTCCCGCAAAATGTGGGGATTGTGGGAATGATAGTTCATGATGAGATTTGGGTGGGGACACAGCCAAACCATATCAGTCTTGCTTTGCAGCCCAGCCTGGAATACAGTGGCACAATCATAGCTCATTGCAGCTTTGAACTCCTAGTCTCACGTGATCCTCCCACCTCAGCCTCCCAAGTCACCAGGAGGACTACAAGTGTGCACCACCCACCTGGATAATATTTTTATTTTTCATAAAGACAGGGTGTCTATAAGTTCTACTGTCCTCAAATGATCCTCCCACCTGGACCTCTCAAAGCACTAGGATTATAGGTATGAACCACTGTGCCTGGCCAAGCCCCCTTTTATTTATTTTTTCTTGCTGTTGTAGATAATGAAAAGAAGAGCAAGAAAGACACTTGTCTAAGGTCACACAGCTAGTAAATAGTTGAAGAGAGGCTAAGAATAAAAATGTGGGAACACAAAGCTAAGTACTCTATATATGCGACCGACTGTAAATTCCATGAGACCATTTGTCCTTTTGTTTTGGGGGCTTTCTTTTTGAGTCAGGGCCCCATTCTCACACAGGCTGGAGTGCAGTGTCATAACTGCAGCTTACTGCAGGCTCAACCTCCCAAGCTAGAGCTATCTTCCCATCTCAGCCTCCCAAGTAGCTGGGACCACAGGTATACTCTACCACACCCATCTAATTTCTTCTTTTTTGTATAGGCAGGATCTCACTATGTTGCCCAGGCTCCCAAAACATGTTAAACTTCATTTACAGAGAAAACTGAGGCATGGAAAGATAGGGTGACTTGTCTAGAACTAGCAAGTGGCAAGCAGCCAGGTGAAAGAGCCCCAGACAGAGAGGCATCCTTACTGCACAAACATTGCTTTTAATTCTCACAAAAAGACTGTACAACCAATGAGGAAAATGAGTCACAGAGAGCCAGAAGTTGGCCCCAAGCCCACATGGGTTGGACGCCAGGACACCATTGGCCCACGCACTCCAGTGAACCAATAGGCAGTGCAATTGGGAGCCTATGCCAGGGAACTGGACTCGGGTGGGAACTCCAACACCCA